GCACCTAAGATTATAGTACTAAAATACTTTTGAGAAAAAGACCAAACAAATAAATAAAATAATTACTTAGCGGTATTTTCAGAATGTCATTTTTCAGTTTCAATGTTAATTAGCAGAATATTAACTTAATTTGCGCGTAGTCTATGGCATCACCAGCATAACGATTAGCGGAAATAACGTGAGAAATGTCTATTAAAGTGCATTACACATGGGAAACGAGATAGGGACTATTTACTGCTATTTCTAATGAGAGAATTAATTAATTTGGCAATTTATCTTCATAATGAATCAATAATTCAAACTTTTTAAGAACTCATGTTACTAATCTCGGGGTACAACTAATCGAGTAAAGGATAAGCAATAAAGGAGCAATGAACTGGTACAGAACGTTGCTTTTCTGTAATTACGTACGTCAAAAAGTATGCTGTTCAGTGTATATGCGTAGGGATAACTTAGAAGGGTGCCCATCGTCAGCATGAAGTGAAGCCTACAAATTAAAATAGGGAGAACAAAAAGATTACTCTTGGTTCGGCTGCAGTGTGTGGCTGATCGACTCTGTGCACACTATCAGTGTAGAGTCGGATTAATACATCGAAACAACTGTACAATAGTCTGTATGGGAGATCTGATATATAGTAATATATATTCAAATTTTGCTTCACACTAAAAACATAATATGCACCGAAATAATAACAGTAAAACAATCTGTATGCACAGCACCTCCAGCTTATGTAAAGACTGCAAACATACATAAGCTGCGCTGTATTAGTATGGTGCAGTGCACTGTAGCCATTCCTGTACACAGACCACTGCCAAGACGAGTAATTCGCAAAGTGCTGCTCGCTAATACTTTTATACCAAGCAGTACATTAGTGCCGTTAGTGTCAACACAGAACTGTTCTACACTAAACATAAATAAATACAGTCCGTATATGCATACTATACACTTCTACTAGATAAGTCTAAATGTGAACTACTATAAACTACTAGAATTAGTGTACAACAACATACAGTTACACTGTACTTAGTAATAGTGTAGAGTATTGAATACACAGATTTATTACACATTATTAGTGCCAAATACTGTTTGTACATACACTACTGCAAAGGATCAGTAATTCAATGTACAGTAATACTAATGTAAAGTATGGCATATTTAGACCGCGTTTAGTAGTAATGCATAGGAATGCATACTCAAAATGCATTTTTATTAAAACCGCTTAACGAAAAAGACCAGTTAATATGAATGTATTGAATTTTTCAAGCGATTTGACGTTCCACATACAAAGGAAAGTAACGACGCAAAGTTCGTAAGCATTGGATGTATGTCTTCCTTATACGTTTATAAATGGGTGTCATTTGTCGTCCTGCATTTCATGGAGATTGTGGTGCGGCGCTGATTTCCGTTTCTGTTTTACCAGTCAGGGGTGTCTATTTATAAGGCAGAACCCACAGATATAAGACAAGCAATGGGTGTAGTTTTCTGTTTCCTTCCCAGAGAGCTACTCATTTAGCTACCTCAAAAGGAACAAAAGCGACTGACCCGCCAGGGTTCAAAACTGGGATTTCTAGGTTCTGAGTCCAATGATCTACTGACTAGACAGCCCTCGATCCATATACAGAATTAAAATCAATTCTTCATTTTCCAATATCATTCTGTCATTTCTACACTTGTAAGGATTATATTTCAAAAATCAGGGTCATGAAGTCGTTTAATCGTATACAGAGAAGGTTATTCGAATGCTTGGTTATTGTAGAATTTTTAAATGAGTTTAAGAGTACTATCAGAACCTAAAAAACTGAACAACGAATGAAGCACTATAAAGAACTGCCAGGACTAAAATACTTGAGACATAAATGCATAGAAATACATAGACTGGAAACTGAAGAATTGCTAAAGGCCAGAAGGTTCTCAATCTGTATCGGCTCACTGATTGATAGATAAAACAGCCACCCAACCCATCAGCATGTAATAGATAACAAACAGAGCGAGACAGAGAAAGCAAACATGCAAATCTATCTCGTTAACTTCATCAAAATTGAAGCTTCAGCCTGCAACAGACTTTTGTAGAGAATCAGCATCGATCTGCTGAAACGCACTCTAACGCTACATTTCGGATTGACATTAAAGAGTGCTAAGCGCATAACTCGACCGGCGTTTAAAAACTGCTTGATTGTCCATAACAGTAACGGACCCATGTAAGAAAGCCATAATTTACTGGCATTTTAGCACACCTGCAATGCAGCTATTCCATTCAGGTTATTTCAGAGTTCAGAACCATAACTTACTTTTCAACTACTTGATTACTAAAGTCTATCCTTTGTTTTCGCCAGGAGAAATGTAGAGGGAGGAGAGGACGGAAAGGAGTGCAATAGCGCCGTGATATGCTGAAAGGGAAACCCAAATTTACGAAATTATGTACCACTGCTATTTAGTATTAATAAACAATGTGAGTCGCAATATGTTTAAGCTCTAGGATAGTTCTTTAAGCCAACAAACCATTATTTGCTGCCTTA